GGTAGTAGAATCGGTTGGGCACGTACTGGAAAGAATTTTTAAATAAACCTTACTTCAGGGGGACGGTTGTAATTTATCCGTGTAAATTATACATAACAAAAAGAAGAAAAAAAATTGCATTATTGAGCTTAATATATAATGTAACAATTTGCATGGTGGACAAGAAAAATATGAAAATCTTTAATTTGATTTCAGTAGTGATTATAATATTAATATTACTACGAATCCATGCAACAATATAAAAAATGGTGAGTACAGCAGACAAAAGCTTACTGGGACCGTGCATGTAAATTAAATATAATATCCAACTGGGAAAATTAGAAATTATAAGACGACGTCGTTGTCGGGACACCTCAGAAAATAAATAGTCCCATTTGATTTGATTCGTTAATGATTGACCATTGTTTTTAGAGTTGACTCTTTCTTAACACACCATCCCACTTAGGTAAAGCTAAATTTGTTCCTTCACACACCAAGCAAGCAACCCATCTATAATTAATTATACTTCAGCCCTTATTAATTAAATATATTATTAAAAATTAATAATAATAAATATGTGAATTAATATTTGAAATAATTTTATAGGTTATATTACATGAGGGAAAAAATAGAAAAGAAAATAATAGTTAATGCAATCACTGAAATGACAATCAAAGTGTACTTCACGAACCAAATTTTGCCTCTTATTTCATCATAATTTTTCACCAACTTTGCATAAAAGTCACAAACTATTTATATATATAGATATATATATGTGTGTATATATATATATGTATGTATATAGTGAAGTGACACTAAGGTATAAGTTTATTAGAAGGAATGTCTTTTCTAGTGAAGTACAATAGATATAGAAGAACTGAAAAATCAAACTACTGACAAAATTGAATTATTAAATTAATAGTTTGATTATTTGTTTGATAATAATATATAATATGGTGTCCAGAGGACGAAAAAGTCTGAAATTTTGCCTAAAGAAAGAAGCATAAAATTTTGTCTTGTCCAGAATTCAGCTTTTACAATAATTATTAACATGCAAGAATAAATAAATAAATAAAACTAAGGTAGATCTCATCCTTCCAATTATTTTACACCCACATGAATCACTTTATATTAATATTTAATTATAATAATTATACTATTCTTATAGACCTGACAGGATTGGTCAATAATTTAAAATTGTTGATTTTTTTATATAAATTGATTATCAGGTAATTTATAATCAAAGAGCTAATCAATTGATGATCATTCAATTGTAAACACACCAGGGCTTATTGAAGAATTAAGTTCGGCCCATAAATTAATCACATTTAGGACTGAAATAATTATAGTCCAGATCCATTTTAGAATTAATAAAAGGAAAAATTTAAACTGATAACAGGCTTAACATACGGCTCATTGCATCCGAATTCCCATTTATTGCAGGCCCTAAAAAATCGCTCTAGGGCCCTTTAAAATTAGTGTAAATCCCACTTTTCCCATTGTACTTTAGCTCGATATCACTTTACCCCTTTCTACTCTCAATTGCATCGATTTGCTCCCATGTACTTGAAACATTGTCTCAATGTGGGCCTCGCATTTACTAATTAATTCAGGCCCATTCAGCAACTAATACAGGCCCAAACATCAGGTTAATCTGGGACCACTCCACTATTAATCAGGCCCAAATAAGGTCCATTTATTATTAATTCAGGCTTATTCAACAACCAATACAGGCCTAATAGGTCCAGTCCAGGCCGAATAGCCATAACAATACAAGTAAAGACACATTATTCATCTCAATAAAACATTTATTTAGATTTTATTACAGGAAAAAAAATAACAACAACAACATTAATAAAAAATTTATTGTATACAAATTTATCTGCTAACCCTGTTGATTAGATTAATTTCAAAACTGAAATGATTTGTGCAGGCCAAAATTAAACATTCAGGCACATTTTTTACCATTCTTCAAAAAACAAAAAGTAAAAAAACTCAAAAACTCTCTCAACCTTTCGATTTTCTTTCGCAAAGCCCGTGCAAATCGTCAACAGATCGGATGTAATTTTTACGTTTTTACGATCCCCTTGTTATGTAGATTACGAATCCGGAAAAAAAAACGAAAAAAATCGGACTTTTGGCCTGCTCGTGTGAATTTACACGAGCGCATCCACTGCGCTCGTGTAAATCCACACGAGCAGGCCTTGTAAATTTTTTTTTTAATTTTTTTAATTGCTCGTGTAAAAACACACGAGCGGTTGCAAAGGGCTCGTGTGATTTCACACGAACGCTTTTCAACCGCTCGCGTGTTTTTACACGAGCATTTTTATTTATTTTTATTTTTTTTTTATAATTTTTTTTTTGAATTATAAGATGCTCGTGCAAAAACATGCGAGCATTTCAACAGTGCTCGTGTGAAATCAGATGAGCACTGTTGAAATGCTCGCATGTTTTTGCACGAGCACAACAATTTAATTTTTTTTTTTTTTTTTTTGGGTAGGAATAGTACAAAAGGTAAATAGTTATGGTAAAAAGGTAAAAAATCATGGTAAAAAAGTGCATGAATGTTTAATTTGGCCTGCGTAAATTATTACCCATTTCAAAACCAAAATTATTATTTTAGCAAAAGTAATTGGTATAAAATAAGCCCAATTGCGATTATAGAAAAGCCGCCCTGATGGCCAATGCAATAATTTTACAAAACACCTACTGCACACTTCAGTGGGTTGACAAAATATCAATCAATTATCAATAGTGGAGGCCCCACACAATTAGTATGCAAAAATGTTGTATACCGTACCGAATTTATCTACTACTGAACTGAAATATGCGGTCCGATATTACATACCAAATTTTCGATTCGATACAATTCAGTCGGTTTACCTACCGAGTGAACACCGCTGCATGCAAGTTCGAACATATAACATAGCGGGTCACCACTACCAGAGCTTTAATTTATGTTATTGTCGGCTGTGCAATTGTTTTATTATTCCTTAAAGTCAATAACAAGTCATCACCCCACCTAATATTTAGAATTATGTCCATTTATTTTACAAAAAAATCATATATATCAATAAATTCTATTAAGGAAGCAATTTTTATATATTTAATAAAATTTAATTAAGGTAATCCCAAAATTCACATATCGTTTTCCAATAAATAAATAAATAAAAAATGTCAAATTCGTGGACGGTTCGAAACCACTTGCGAACTATAAAACCAGATCGAAGACGCGGTGCATGGTTAACTAGTTATTATTAAGCTCACTCTCTTCTGCTCAAGGTATGCACCTTTCTCTCTCCTCTTTCTTCGATCTGTACTCACTCACTACACTCAGTCCGAACGGGAATTAGAACACTACATTTTCATCTATGATCTACTATATATGTTTGTTGATCAAATTTAATTTTATTTGATTCCATTCAGTTTTTTAATCAGCTCAGACGATTTAACTAATTACCAGCTGCATGCAAGTATCGTGATGACGTCAAAAGAGTCGCCGGAAAACAACCCTGGACTCGTAACTTCGCCGGACATTCAGCTCAGGTATAGCAGAGCCTGTTCTCTCTCTTGAATTCATTTGTTACATGGAATAATATTATATTCAAGTCTCTTTGTAATGCATGAATTATGTTTTCCGGTACACATTTCCTTCATCTTCTCAATTTTACCGCTTTGGTCATATATATGGTGCTGCATAACAGCTGATAAACACTTCATATTCTTCCATCCATTTGACCATTTTCACCAGAAACTTGAAAAAAATTCTCTCTTCTATCTCTGACAATCTCCAATATCCACTCCTAACTACCCTTGCATCTTCACCACATCAACCTTTCAATTCCGTCGTTGCTTTTGATCTCACTCTTATATAATCACTTTCTTACAATGAAATAGGAAAGGTACACGCAAAGAGTCATATTAATTACCTACGTTTTTGAGAGATGAATTATATTGTGAATGCATATTGTTTTGAAGACATAAATGATATATGTGTGTGTATATTTGTTCGTAGATAAAGGAGAGGAAGAGGAGGGAGGGAGGAATGAATTAATCTGATCAACATGAAATAGTACAAGGTCTACTCTTTCCCCATAATTTCCAGACGAACTATTGCATTTATGACCGTGTAGTGATAGCCCTTTGAGAAATACATAGTATTTTACGTATGATTTTCTTAATCGGAAACCAGCAATGGTGAGCAATGTGAGTGTTAGGCTGGATCTCGTTCCATTAACGTTGACAGAACTGAGTTTGCTGATTGGTGCATGTTTTCTTTAACATTGTTTTTTTTTTCAAATATAATTTATAAATTTAAAACTCGAATCATTTTCTTAAATTCAGTCGAACACATTAAACTTCAAATAAAGTAGTTCAGGAGATTTAAACTTTGGCACCGTGATTAAAGATTGTGTGTTTGAACTATTGTTTAAAATGAGTGGCTGGTTTGTAGTTAATTAATCTAAATTTTCAATTAATCATCCACTATAAATTGTGTGTTAGAAATGTTGATTTTTAGTTAATAATATGGAATTAGTAAGCTTAATTTAGAAATGGCTATAGGATAATTAATGGATTGTGTGTTTCATGATATTTAGCTATGAATTTGTTTCTAGGATGGAAATTTGTAGTTTGTGTTTAATGATTTGAGCACGAATATTGAGTTTGTTCTGTAGATGTTAGTATTTTTATTTATTACAAATTACAAGTACCTTATGTTTGCCTTAAAGTTAACGTGTCCTGTAATTCTAAATACGAAATTAAAATGTTGATTAGCAGCCGATGATGTTTGGGTCGATACCTCTGAAGCGGGAGCCTGGATGCTGATATAT